CATTGCAAAAAATTATCATGTGAATATGAATGTAAAAAAAAATGAGAAAAAGAATGCTTGCTTGGAAAAGAAAAAAAAATAGTGAAAGAATAAGTTGTGAAATAAGGTTTGTGAAGGTTTGCAATTGAGAAACAAATGGAATGAAGTTGGGATGTGTAAATAACGTGTACGGTGAATGTTTCTTTTGCATCGACAATTTCATTTCAATGGCCTTATAAATGACCCTTATTTGTAAACCCGATCAAGCTACAACCTTAAAGACCTTAATGATCTTTTTGCTTCCATATTTTCACTTTTGATTGTTAGATATTGCATGAATTGAATTGATATTGACATTGTTTGTTAGGTGAGTGAAATTGTCCTCGCGGTTGCAAACGCGTAATTTCTTCAATCCTTATTCGAAGAAGAGATAGAGTGATTCATTCACAAAAAACATAGTTTTTGATTGATGCATAGATTAATATTTGCTTTAAGAATTTAGTTCTTGTGCATTGTTTGATTCTCAATATTTGAAACCATTGCTTGTGTGCATTCTTTGTGTTTGAGCCATTTTATCCATTCCTAGGTGAATCTTAGTCTTGAGCAAATCCTCTTGTTTGAAATGAGAGACATACTTTACTTGAGGGCAAGCAAAAATCTAGTTGGAGAGAGTTGTTAGATGCCCAACTTTGCTTATTTGATCTATCAAATGTGAGCATCTTTCACTCCTTTTTGTCAAGAAAGTGTTGAAAATCGCTCTTGCTTTGGTTGGTTTGCAACATATTGTGTAAATGTCTTGGTACCTTTGATCTGTGTATTATTGTGCAGGAATTAGGCATTAAAAAATGGAAATTAAGACATAAGAAATATGACAAAGAAATCAAGACAACATGCAAACAACAGCTAGTGAAGCTGCCATCAAAACATCATCAAGTTCGCTAGGTGAACTATGTAGCGAAGGCCAGGAATCAATGCATTGTTCACAACAAAATGGAAAGGGTCCTAAACTCGCTAGGCGAAGGAGGCAACGAAGAACTCGCTAGGCGAAGTGGTAGCGAAGCTCTAGCGAACAGTCCCAGACTTGAGACAGAGGCAAAAGGACCATAAACTCGCTAGGCGAAGTTCACAGCGAAGGCTTTGCTAGGCGAGGGATTTCTCCCCCAGCGAATATTTGGAAATATTTCAGGGGCGGTTTTACTGTTCAGAGGCACTTCAGGTGCCTAATTTGTTGTTCACTAGGCGAAGGATCTGTTTGCTAGGCGAACATGACAGATCCTGAATGTACTATATAAGTATTTTTATTGCTTTTCAGGTCATTATCTAGAATGTAATATTTTCTACATCAGAACTTATCTCTCTTCATTTCAAGTTTATTTTAGAGAGAGAAACACAAAACCCTAAAAGGGAGGAGGTAAGATCTTTGATCTCTTATTGGGGTTTGGATGTAATCTTTTGATACCTTATGTATTTCATCTAATTTATGTTTGTGAACTAGTTTGGATTCTCTATTGATTGATTATCTTTGATTGCTTATTTATGGGTCTTGACAAAACCTTTTCACATCTTTGATCTTAGATTTTCTTCTATCAATGAACAAACTTTTGACATGGTTTTGTAAATTGATATTTATTGTATCTTCTATGTTATTGTGTTGATTAAGTAGCATGGGTAGCATGAGTAGGATCAATATGATATTGTGCGGATGCGTGATAATAGTGATAAAGAACGATGTTCACAACCATTTGGTAGATTAGGTGAATACATGTAAAAAGGGTTAAACGTGTGTACGTATTCTGATCATTGTGTTTTATATGAAATAATCATTTATCCGATATGGGTGTCATCTTTGTTTACCTGTTTATCTTTGATTTAAACCGTGATAGACATATACTCTTCAGATCTGGATCTAGGATGATTACTTGTTAGGTCCTAAATGCTAGACATAGGTTTAGGCTTAGCATTTGCATGAGTATCATTTCTTAATGCTCTGTGTTGTGTTTTTGTTGGATGAGATATCACCAATGAGACAACACGGTTGTTCTCTCAATGTTGCGTTATAGATGACCTCTGTCGTGGGTGATACGTATGGATATTAGACGAATGATTGCGTTGTGTTTAACTTGATCAGAAGAATGCATGTGTTATCAATTGATGAGATCCAATCCCTACAAGACTTTGTTTATATTTCAGTTTTTACTTTATATTTTTTGTTTTTATCCATGGTTCCTTGAACCTTTTAAACCAAAACTTTTGAACAATAGGCTTAGAAATATGGAGAACGTTGAACGACCTTCGTATCGCACCGATCCCTGTGGAGACGAAAAAACTGGGTACTTAATATTTTTTGCTTGCTGCTTTACTGCACCAACACACCCTGATCACAAAGAAGCCCAGGTGGGAGTAGCGCTCTGAATTCTCAACATAGACTAATCGTTCGCGGAGGCGTAACTCGATGACTCGGTGGCTTCCCGATGACTTAATGACTTTATTATCGAATCCTACATACCTTTTTATTTATTTTTATCAAACCATCCTCAAGCTCATCTACCTCCTTTAGTTTGCGACAACCTCTCTTAATGTCACCTTTAAAATCCCATTGGACTCAACAAAGTGAACAAACAAAATGTCTCTCTTTTTAACTTTCGAATCTCTCGTCACATCAAATCACTAACTCCATTCACTTTCTACTATTCCATAAACTAATCCTCTTTTCTAGTAAAGCTAAAACCCATCCCCCACCAAAGCCAAAACATCACCTTTCAATTCTAGTCATTCTTATTGTCGACTTTGCCAAAAGCATAATTGTAATAAAAAAGTCAGCAAAAACCCTAAACAACCACCATTTTCCGTTATGTCAACTCATGAATGTCAAAATTTTATATGCCATACCCAAGTCATATTGCACATGATTATTATCTTTTTTTTTTTTCCTTCAAAACTTTATTAAACGATACAAAAGATAGACCTCATCGCCCCTTGTTTATTTAGTTATAAATATTTTATTAAAATACTCTATGGGAAATGAATTACTCGCCCTTTAACCTCTTTACTCGCCAATAAGTACTCTAACCTAACTGTGATTCTATCATATTCTTGAAATGACGTTCCCATAAATATTATTTACATTCAATGCACGTTTTGCAAATTAGGCGATGCGTTCTCCTCAAAGTTTTTCATATAGTTATTTTAGTGATCAACCAAAACCATAAAGAAAATAAATGAATAAAAATACCAACAAGTAGCATTTAAACACAAAACCTATTTCTCTTTCAACTCTCAAAGTACACGACAAAGTTAATGTCTCAACTTTTTAACTAACAAAATTATATCAAAGCGATTAACATTGAGAAGAAGACAATATTAACAATTAATCAAATCATGAGAATAAAACTAATACCAAATGTTAATGATAAATGATAGTTTAATTGAATTTAAATATAAAGAAAGTTATACCCCAAACAATCCATGAATCATTCGCGAGCGTTGTTGATTGCAAAATCCATTGTAGAGAACTATCTATCTCTGTCTCAATCTCTGGCAACAATTTTTATTCCACATGTTCACTGCTTCTCGGTCCCTATTTCGATCGAAAAATTGCATAGATAGAAAACACAAACAAATCATATAACAAAATCTTTCTTCTCATTGTCCTAATTGTCGAATTCATCATCATCTTCATCATCACAATTGCCATCGACAATAACACCATAGTCGTCGCCACCACCATCGACAAATTGAACTCAAGTCCATTTCAATTTTATCAAGCCCATCAATGTACATGTGGTAAACACAATAATATAGACCATGCACATGATGAACCAAGTATACTTGGACACTTGTCAATACACCATTTTATAACATATAAATAAATAAATAAATACACACAAGAAGCCTTAAGCATCATAGATAGATATAATTCAGAAACAACACAAACACAACACAATCGAAGAGAATAAGAATAAGCAGCGGGGGGAAGGAAAGTAAGAAAACCCGGAATCTAGAAACAACCACCAAAACCCTCTTTATTTTTTCCCAATAACCACGTTTATTTCTTTCTATTCTTCTTCTTTTTCTCAATTCCCCTTCACTCTATCGAGATCTTCTTCTGCAATGCCCACTTTCTAGTCCACAACTCAATCTCACACCTTCCTTTTCCCCTTTTCATCGATACCTATTATTTTCTAGGTATCAATAACCTTTTCATTCTTTTTGTTTCCAATCAATTTTACTCTTCTTTTACAATTAGGGTTAGGTTTTTTGTTACCGATTCCTGGTTTGTATATACTCAGCTTGTTTCTGTTGCTGGATTTTCTAGGGTTTCATTGGATCGTTACTTAATACTTGCTCAATTTGGAATTTCGGACTGATTAGGGTTGCGTGAAATGGGCACATGCTCCGATCTCTTTAGAGGTTCGAATTGTGGATTTGGAATTACCGTGCTTCACCGTTTCTACTTGGAGATTGTTTATTCTTAAGATGCTCTTTAACATTGCTTATATGAGCATGGAAGAGGATTGTTTATATTAAACCAATATTAGATACCTTGCAAAGCCTGAGTTTTTTCATCTCTTGGTCTTTTACATCTTTGTTGGGACATCATTGTGGTTTAGGGCATCACTATAAGGAAAATCTGATACCAGATTAATACATACTATTGTAAAGATTTTAATCCTAAGCAAATAGTTAATGAGGTTGTGTTGAATCATTTAGATTTGTACTACTAGTTAGCTTGATTAAGTGATTCCACGTAGATTTTGAATCGAATTTTAGTAGTATTAGTTTAGGGTATTTGTATATTTGGTGAAAGGAAGTAAGCCCTAGTGGTTTCCATAATTTGTGTTTGTAGTGAGTAAGGAGCTTATGGAGGAATATTAAAGCTTGAAATGAATGCAGTGACATGGTGCATGGACAGGAGAATAGTTGCCGGTTCGATTGCTTTCTGGAACAGTACTACTGGAAAGTGATTGAAGCATTCTCAGTTTGGCAGAGAGGATACACTTGGCATATCTGGATTTTGTGCAATGTCGCGGTGCTTTCCATTTCCGCCACCAGGATATGAAGGGAAATCTAGAACAGATGATGTGGATTTACTAAAAAAGGTTAATACAATTTTCCTGTATTACACTGTGCAAATTGTTTGGCCTGTCATTATCTGGAATGCAAAACTGGATTTCTTTGTGAGCTTAGTGTTAAATGTGCATGAATAAGGTTCATTTTTCAAGTTGCAAAATTTAAGGCGAGGTTGCCTATGATTCCTACTTTTCATTGGATCGTATAATGGTGTAAGCTTTGTACTACTGGTCTGTCCTGACATTGAAATGGCTCAGCGATGCATTTGTGGTCTGATTTAATCCTGGACTAGATTTTTGTCTTCTTCCATTTCTTCTAAATATAAGTCCAACTTAGTTAAAGATCTTTGTAAACTGATAACATGAAGCGTCTGAAATGGTCACTTCGATATTTTACTCACACACACACACAAAAACATAAGCATGTCATAGTGTTGATTGGGGTTTGGGTGCAGATGCAGTCAAAGATGATTGGATCATTTTCCTATTTTAATCAGTCGTGATTGTGGGTTCCTGATTGATGGAATTTTGTTATTGTTACTTATATCAGTACTCATGTGCGCACTTACCTACTGTTGCCTTTATCAGGATTTACATTAGATGTTTCTTGTTTATCTCCGAATTTGGGATTTTAACTGACGAGTTTCCTAGTGTGAAACACATGGAGGGGAATTCTACATTTGCTGGTGAAGACACAATGATTAAAAGTTCATATGATTTCTTGTTTTTTTCACTTTCCACTAAGATTTAAATAAAATCTCTGTCTGTATAGATTGCACCCATTTAGGTTTGTCCCTTAAGTTTTTCTTCATTTTCTGGGATATTAGTTCTTTTCTTTGATGAAAAATGTAAGTGATGTTAGTGGGAGGATTCGAACCGACATCGACACTGCCTTATCTCTCAAAACTTTATGTTCCTTCTCCCAAACCAACAAACCACCTTTTCACTCAATTTGGGTATCAGTTCTTATATATTTTTGCCATTTGAGAATGCTACATGGTCAAAGTGCTGATTTATCATTTATTTCAAAGTAATTTGTAATAGCATATAACTCTAGGAAAAGAAAAATACATATTACTAAAGCCCTGTTTGTCGGTCTTACATCTTTTTCCTTCTAACGGTGGTGCTGACACGCCTGGTGTAGGTTAGGGGAAGGCCAAAATATAGTGTGTGATTAGATATACAAGTAATAGTAGTCATAAAATTATTAGCCCTATAAATGGAAAAAGAAATAGTTCACATATTCTAGTTGGGGGATATATTATGCTGAGTTGAGAAAGTGTGGAAAATTCAACATATATATTATTAGACATTGGGAAATCTGGTTATGGTGGCGTGCCATCTCTTTATGGATGATAAACTCACCCGGACAGTTGGACAAAACATGATTTTAGTGTAAAATAATATGTGGGCTTTATGGTGTGCCATCCCATTCAGAATAAATGTGGAAACCTTGAGGGTAAGATGATATACTTATGGTATGCTGTCTAGGAGTAGACGTCACTATAAGTGCGCTAGCTCTATTTGGAACTGTGTGGCTATGCTAATCTTAAAATTGGTTATCATTGCACAAACATCTTAGTGCTATTTTGCTTTAAGTTGCTCCTAAAACGTTCCGGTAATTCTTTGTTGGAGTTAATGATTTATTTGGTAGGGTTATTTTAAAATTGATATACAAGCTGCTGGACATTATTTACTTGCATATTAGTACCGTTGTCTTGTATGAAGTTTCGCCTCTGATATAAAACTGTTGATCATTCTTTTGTTCTACTGGATATGGGATTCTTATGTCAGTATGGATTTTTTTTATTGCAAGTAAACTTATTATTTGCTTGGGGAGAACTTTGTCTGTCACAGTATAATTTTTTGGCAGCACAGAAGCATATTGGCAATCATCTTCATTTTTACTTTTTCAGTTTTGTTGGTTATAAATTAGCAATTAATTTTGCATACTGTATGTTATATTGATAGGGTGGAAGTTAATAGGTCTTGATTTTTTGTTATTTTTGCCGGATCTTCAAGGACCATGTTGAGTGGGCATCATATGGATGTTATTCTCTTATGCTGTTTTAAGAAAGGAGAGGGGATGCGAAGTCATTTTCTTTGTTTTTTTTTTTATATATTTAATTACTATTCCTAATGTCTATTTTTCACTATGAACTTCCAGGAAAGACGAAGAGAAAAAAAACGTAAAAAAGAGGAAAAAGAAAAAGAGAAGAAGGAAAGAAAGGAAAATGGAGAGAAAGAAGGAAGGGATAGAAAACATAAGGATAAAAAGGACAAAAAAGAAAAAAAGAAAAAAAGGGATAAAGACAAGGACAAGGACAATGATAAAGATAAAAGTAAAATCAGTGCTACGGACAGAAAAGGATTTCCAGCTCAAGCTCAAGGTCTTAATGATGGTAATAATCTACATCAAAAGGAAATCAAACAAAATGACAAGGCTTTCTTGTTTGATGATAGACTTACCAAACAGTATGCCAGTTACAATGGAGAGAAGGCCAGAGAGAATAATCATCAGGTTGACGAGAATAGGGACTCTAAATTCCGCATGGAGTTGGACAGGAGGATTAGGGACAGTGATGGAGGAGCTGGGAATCCATTGGCTCAAAAGTTTTCAACTGCAGACCGTGGAAAGGACGAGGAGACTGTTATGCTGGTTGCTAATAGTATTGGCGCTGGCAGTAGCACCTGGCTTGATGGAAAGGAGAAGTTCCAGAACAGGGGTGTCAATGCTAAAAAGATTGTTGGGAGAGGAATTCAGGCTGAGACCCAATCAATTGGAAATGCAACAGTTCAGAATCATATTGTTGATGGTAAAAAGATTGGCACCTGGCCTGATGGTAAGGAGAAGTTCCAGGATAAGGGTGTCGATACTAAAAAGATTGATGGGAGAGGCATCCGGATTGAGGCCCGGCCAATTGAAAATGTAACAGTTCAGAATCATGTTGATGGTAAGAAGATTGGCTCCTGGCCTGATGGTAAGGAGAAGTTCCAGGATAAGGGTGTCGATAGTAAAAAGATTGATGGAAGAGGCATCCGGATTGATGCCCGACCAATTGGGAATGCAACTGTTCTGAATCATGTTGATGGTAAAAAGATTGGCACCTGGCCTGATGGTAAGGAGAAGTTCCAGGATAAGGGTGCCGATTCTAAAAAGAATGATGGGAGAGGCAACCGGATTGAGGCCCGGCCAATTGGGAATGCAACAGTTCAGAATCATGTTGATGGCAAGAAGATTGGCACCTGGCCTGATGGTAAGGAGAAGTTCCAGGATAAGGGTGTCGATTCTAATAAGATTGAAGGGAGAGGCATCTGGACTGAGGCCCGACCAATTGGGAATGCAACAGTTCAGAACCATGCTGGAAACTGTCTACCTAGGGTTGATGAAAAGCCCAGACCTTTGGAGAATAATTTTGACAAAATTTTGGTAGGAACAGAACGAGCTAAGGAAAAAAAAGATGAGAAACGAAGAGATAAAAGGAAAGATGATAAAAAGGGTGATAAAAGGAAAGAAAAAGATAAGGAGAAGAAAGGGCATGGGAAGGACAAAGACAGGGATAAAGAGAAAAAAAAGGAGGAGAAAGCAAAGCAGAAGATTGAATATAGAAATGGAGAGCAGAATAAATTAAAAGACAGCAACAAAGTCAGTCCAGTGGGCCCAAATTCTTCCACACAAGTATCCAAGAACTACCATGAGAATTCTATCTTTGAGGAAAATCTCAAGAAACGGAAGGAAATTGATTCAAATGGAGTTCTACATGGTGAGTGCCATATGTAATGAGTCATGTTTGTGTTGCTGGTCAATGAATCCCAATAGGTTGCCGGTAGATACATATTTTTCTTACTGCATCTAGCGAGTAATATTTTGATATTTCAGTGGGGAATTTTTTCAATTACAGTATTCAATTTTCTTGAGTTTGTATACTCATTATTTTGTGGTTCACTGACGATTTTATTATTCTTTGAATTTTCTTTCAGCCAATGACAGTAGGCCCATTAAGTTGCCTAGACCCTCTTCCTCTCATCCTTTCTCTGAAAATGGGAGGACATTAGAACCTTGCCAAATTTCCCTTCAAAGTGTTTCAGATGGGCCAAGAGGCCCCATTAATGGTAAACTAGAAAACAAGGAACGGAAGAAAAATGGCATCATTGTGGTTTCCCCAAACAAGATTCCCACCGCCATTGTGCCAGCTGATCCCGCCACTAAAGTATCAATATCCGTGGTTTCCCCAAACAAGATTCCCACTGCTACTGTGCCAGATGATCCCGCCACTAAAGCTTCAACATCTGTGGTTTCCTCTAACAAGGTTCCCACTGCTACTGTGCCAGATGATCCCGCCACTAAAGTATCAACATCTGTGGTTTCCTCTAACAAGGTTCCCACTGCCACTGTGCTAACTGATCCTGCCACTAAAGTATCAACATCTGTGGTTTCTTCTAACAAGGTTCCCACTGCTACTATGCCAACTGATCCTGTGACTAAAGTATCAACCAAACCACCCCATCCAGATACCAAGTACATAAGTCAGGTATATTCCGTACCAAAAGCAAATGAGTGGTCTGATTTTGTTGACCAAGAGTGGCTGTTTGACAACAACCATTCGCAAGAACAAAAACCCGTGGTGAAATCTTCAGAGGTTGCGGATACACTGCAGGTATGGGCAGAAGCTGTGCATATAGAGCCTGCAGATGTTTTTGCTCTACCATACGTCATTCCATATTGATCATCCACAAGGCATCCGAAACTTCAAAAATATCTGCACAAAACCTCCTGCTGCCTAACCTATTTTGGAGGAAGAGCAACCTATGGGCTAGAAATTTATTTCACACTTGCTGATTCATTCTTTTATCATTTGTGTGATAAGTAGCCTGTATTGTAAGCTGTTTGGATGGGTACTTATGTCTGGCCGACTGCCTTGATCTTGAACTGATTTGAAGGGAAACTTAGGCCAGAAAAGTGATTGCATAATTTGCATGCTTGGTGCATTGCTGCAGGCCAAGTTGAGGGTGCAGTGTTCAATTTTTGCATTATAGCAACAATTCATTCACAAGTTAGACTTCACAAGGGTAATCACAGGTTGTGGAAAAGGGATGTACAAGCTTGCGCAACTTTTGTTTTGTTCCTTAAAAAATTATTTTTGCCTAGAGCTGAGCCTGGGCAGCTAGCATATTTCTAATTGAGAATGAGAATTTGAGAGAAATTAGATATGGTTTATGCAAACCTCAACACAATTTTGATTTGTAACATAGAACTTTTATTTACAAGAATATGTATGATAGAGGGGAAAAGTATTAGGCGGGTTAATTTATTTAGCTTTCTGTAAATTTTATTCGTTAAGCTTGGGCTATCAGAAAAGTCAAATTTGAGTTGTTTATTGTCAAAAATTTACTCAGATTAATTCATCATTTTCAACTATAAATAATGTCTTGCTAAAAGGGTGCACATAATTGTTTTTGTATAAAGTAGGGTTGATTACTAAATTCAATCAAATGGGAGTTGCGAATCAAAGTTGGATTGCATCATATGTAAAGAAATAAAAATTAAACTAAGCATAACTGGTCCTCCATTTAACACTATTGCTTTAAACAAAATGTGTATTACCAAAGTTTCTATAGATTTATGTGATCGTGGTTAAAATGATTCGGTCTTTCAAAAGTCTCTCTTATTAGAAAAACTGAAAAAGTAAAATGAGTGATCCATGTATGATGTATTAGAGACAAAATTGTGGGAGCGAATAGGATGAGCAAAGTGCGTTGAACCATACCCTCTATTTCCTTCTGGATAAACTACCAAAAACGTTCCACATAAATTTCTTATCAACATTTTTTAATTTAAAAATACATAAATAAATAAAATTATTACAAACAAAAAAAATGAAAGCAAGACAAGCATCATCATCATACACTCAAAGAAGCTAAGGTGAGAGAGTGTCTTTGTTAAACATTAAAATTAAAATTAAATCAAACTAAACAGATTAAAGTTGCAAGTCAAGTTGAAATGCAGATTAGTTCTTTTTTGCTTAACATTATTAAACTCAAACTTAATATAATACAAACATTTCAGGAAGAAAAAGAAAAACTAATTGCATGTATTGATTTTAAGCAGAGGATTATATGATTGATTCACGTGTTCAGTGTTGATCCATTCATCATCGTCTCCAATTCAATTCGAGAATGTTGCCTTTTTGCTCAGCCACTCCGTGTTATTCCCCTTCTTCTCAGGTCAATTTCTATCCATTTCTTTTCAATTTTCCATCACTCTTTCTTTATTGTTCTTTGCTGAAATTGGGGGGAAAGATTTAGCATATTATCACTATTTCAATCATTTGCAGTTTTTTTCTGTGTGTTTGCTAGAACACTTAGAAAGGTTAATTTTGTTGTTATTGTAGATTCCCTTATTCGGGGGACTGCAATCCTTGTGTCCAATTCGAAAGGATCTTGAGAGTAGATGTGTGGGGGAAGAAAGTGTACATTTAGGTTTGCATTACGGAACACCTTCACTTAGAAATTCATTTGCAACACAAGCTATAAAAACTGTCTCAGCATGGGAAAATTCACCAGTAACAGTAAATGGAGAATTCAGATACATAGAAGAAAGGTATAGTTTATCTACCGTGCCAGAGGAATTCTTAAACTTTTCAAAACAGTCAGCTGAAGGTTCTGATGCATTAGTAGCATCTGCACAACCAGAAGCAATGCTATCAAGTACTGATATAACGCCGGAGAAGTTTGAATCCGTGCCTAGTTTGATTGAAGGGGGTAATGAATCGTTAGCCGCTACAAAAGCAACTGTTGGTGACCTTGTTGCCGGAATCAACGAGTCGTTTAATGCCTCTATTAATAAGGGAGAGAATGCTTTCCGAAGCTCGGTGGATACAGTCACTAATTTTGTTGATTCCATTGTTAAAAATGCTACCACATCTGCTGATAATGCTTTTAGCAAGGCATTTTCTGCTGTTGATCAAACGGGGGGATTGGCGAATAAGAAAATTACTGGCTTTTCAAGTGAGATAAATGGAGTCACGGGTAAGGCACCTAGTTTGGTTATTGATATCTTGCGCCGCTCAATCGTTGCAGTAGAGAGTTCTCTATCAACTGGGGCTTCCTATATTGTTTACCTATATGGGTCAGCCAAGGAGTTCCTTCCTGCAGAGATTAGGGAGACAGTCGGTGTATATGAAGATAAAGCAACACAATTCTTGAGACCTGTTGGATCTGGCACTCAACAGGTAATGTATTAATAGAGATTCAATAGAATTCTGTACTCTCAAGTCTCAATTTCGTTAATGTTTCTGAAAAATACATATTAAATGAGTCAAACATTTTCTATATCGGTGGCTCTTCAGCATAAGAACTTCTTTCCTTTGATTCGTGTTTTAAATCCTGTGTTCTTGTTCTTATGGTGTTCCATTTCACAACTATTCTAAATTTGCAAGCATATGTTGATAAATTATGTCCCATAAGCAGATATACACGGCTTTCTATTCATTGGAGAAGAGTCTTGGCTTTGATCCAAATGATCCAATTATTCCATTTGTTGTTTTTGTGGGCTCTTCAGCAACATTATGGTATGAATTTATCTTTCCTCAAAAGTAAAAACTGTTATTTATCTGCATTAAGAATTGAATTTCCGTCACAATGCCATCTGTAATAGATGTCAGATATATGCAGGGCTATTTATTGGTTATGGAAATATGGAGGTTACTCAGGAGATTTATCCCCTAAATCAGCTTTTGAGCTCTTGGCTGGGGACTCAAATGCTGTACTTATAGATGTCCGCTCTGAGGCAAGTTATGGTCAATTTTTCAGGCATTTTTAATTCAAAACAGGAGAAACAGTCATACAATTTATGAAAGTTAAGTCAATAAATATTGTGTTTTGAATCTTTTGATGCTCATTCTATGTTTGTTCCACCCTCCTTTCAAACTCAAACTATGGTCTTTTGGTATTATGGATGTATCCAATCTATTTGCATTTGTTTGGCTGGCTATTTTCATATCAATGTTGACCAATGAAGTTGCTGCTCCTTTCCTTTATGCAGGAGTTGCGAGAAAAAGACGGCGTTCCTGATATTCGACGGGCAGCTCGCTTTCGCTATGCAAGTGTGACTCCAATTGAGGTTGGTTTAAAACATGATAATACTTAAAAAATGTGACAAGTATATTTATGGTATACCTTAACTATGTTAAATGGAACCGTCCGAGAATCATGGTCATCTGTTCTATGGATTAGTGATTAATTTGTTATCTATCTACTGATAAAAAAACATATCATGTCGTTTTCAGGTTGATGGCTCGATACGCAAGTTGTTGAAGGGTGGTAGAGACCTGGATGACTCCTTGGTCGCTGTTGTTATTCAAAATTTGAAAATTGTTAAGGTATTTAGCCTTGCAACTCGAAACAGGGTCTTTTGCACTGAATAAAGTTACTTGGAAATGTATGGAATAACCCCTAGACACTTAGTACAATTTTCTTCCATGTGATACTCTCGGATAAACAGTGTTTTTTACAAGCCCTTCAATTTCATTCCCTTTACTTTGATCTGATAACATTAAGCTATTGAAGCTCGAAAGATAACTGCATATTAAAAGTCATGTGGTTTTTATAAAACACATTGTCCTTTGGCAGATTCATCATTTTATTTTATTTCCAGGAGGACATTTAATGGCTTTTATAAAGTGCTTTTTTTATTTTGTACCCTGCATGATAGGTGAAAGTCTGTGTTAAGATTGAAATATATATTCAATGATTTGAAGCTTGTCTATGAATACCTTTTTATTTTTACCTGATTATTTGCATGAGAAATGATATATCAGATGTTTATTTTCTATGCTCTATAGGACAGTTCCAAGGTTATTGTGTTGGATGCTGATGGTACTCGTTCTAAAGGCATTGCAAGATCCTTGAAGAAAATTGGGATCAAGGCAAGTCTGTCAACAACTACTGAGATATTTGTTGCCAATTTTTAATGTGATAGTGATATTATGCAACATAAATATACTGCCGCAACCCATTGTGTTAACCATCTAAATTGCCACATTTCCTACTGTTTACTCTAAACACTTTCCAAACCTTATTTTCTCGCTGAAGACTGCATAACAAAATGTTTAGCTTTTTAGAAGGAAATTTGGTAGAAAAATTTCAAATAATTGTTTGTACTGCTTCCATATCTGATATAGGATCATTGAAACATGTAATTGTATTTTAAGGTTAGGGTTAAAGAACTTTGACATGGTAAAAAAGTAGTAGAATAATATATCAATAATAGAGAAAAATCCAGGCAACGTTACTCCTACTATTTCTCTGATGCTTTGAATTTTGGAATTGTAAATGAAAAAGGTAAAAGCTAGAATTTGAGGAATTCTAGATTCCCTAACTCATGTTTAGACCAGCACTTAGTCCTTTTGTGTCAACATCAGTGCCAAATAAGTTTGATTTAAACTCGAAGACATATCCTTTATATTAGAGTGTATCTGTCTGCTTCATTGGTGGTTCACTAATGATAGACACCCTACCCTCTGCACAATCAACTTGTTCATCAACCTTTGAATTTTGATTCATATATGGAAGTAGAATAAAATCTAACAATTTATTTTACAGAATCCATACTTGGTCGAAGGTGGCTTTCAGTCTTGGGTGAAACAAAGTCTCCGCATCAAGGAACTCAAACCAGAAACAGCACTTACCATACTAAATGAGGTATTTGTCAAACTGTTTATGTATA